CTGCGCTATTCAGCACTTTTGTATGTATGAGAATGCACATTGTCTGTCGAGATTCTACTCTCACCGCATTGTCCATTTCAGTCCTTTTTATCACACTGCAGTTCCTCGGTTATTACGAACATCACATATCTGTGCATGTAACACTAACCCTGGCTTACCTCGGCCTAAGACGTGGTCCATTGGTCATGACAGATACGGGCCTGTTCAAACAACAAAAAATCTGAAAATGACACATCTGGAGCAGACAAAAATGGACCAGACAATGAGTCAGACTCAGCAAAATAAATAAATAAATAAATAAATAAATAAATAAGTACATAAATAAATGCTGAATAAAAGAGAAACGCGTAGAACAAAATGTGTGCCTAGGCCTGGAAAATGGCCGTGGGCCTCCAGGTCGTCGAAACCAAAGTGGGTGTGCGGCCTGGGGGCCTAGAACAACTGTCGGGCCCCAAAGAGGGCCCGTGTAGAGGGCCCAGCATGCTACAGATACCCTCGTAGTCTAGCGCTTCCAGATCTTCCACTATGACTCCCCTCTTCTCTCTGCCATTGTTCCCTCTCTGCCCTCAGATTTCTTACCTGATCTTCAAGCTTATGGACCCTCTTCTCTGCCTTCAAATGTCTCACCTCAAGCTTCTGGACCCTCTCTGAATGCTCTTCTCTAAGTTCCTTCACTGCTTCCATGTGCTTCAGCTCCAGGTCAGACATCACCTGTTGAATTCTCTTCTCCCACTCTGGAGAGTCACAGTCCGCTTCGGCTTTCACCTCCACTACTGTTTTCTTCGACACGGATGCTGGCTCGTCCACAGCGGTGGTAATCGGTGTGACAGTCGCCGTCCGGGACCTCTTTGCAGAGACCGATGCCATTTGCATCCCCTCTTTGCTACCCTTGTTTTCTCCTTTGGTCACGATTTTCAGAACGAAGAACTTGCCCTGATCACGAAGAGCAACAACAAGATTAGAGCCTTTGCGAGGAACCACACCTTTTAGAAAAGAGCGCAGCTGTGTAGTACCGCCATAGGATGCCACCAACTGATAGTTTGACATATCCCAAACCCCAATGCGACCATCAGATGATGCGCCAAGGATATACGGCAAGTGTGGATGGAAGAAGGCTCTCTTCACACCCCGTAAATCAGGCATTCTTAATTTGGCTAAGGGAAGGCCCCTCTTGTAGTCCCAGACTGTGACAGTACCATCTTCGCCGAATGAAAACCCGGATTGACAAGAGAGCGTAATTGGCTTCTCCCCTCTGCTGCAAAAGTCAATGCTGGATATAGTGTCCGCAATAAAACAAGCTTCGATGGTGTGGACACAAGACCTGCTGTCGATGTCTCAAACAACGATGGTGCCGCCAAGATCAGCGCTTGCACAGATATTTGAGTCCGTCGGATGGAAGGCCACCGCAGTTGCACATGGTCCATCCTTATTGCGACCCTTGAATGTAATCGTCTCCCAGTCTTCTGCCCAGTCCCACAGAACCACGAGTCTTCCAAAAGAGGTCAAGATGTACGGTAAGCTGGAATGGACGGCGATCTGCACCGCAGGACTGTTATACTGCTCATCCAGTGAAGGGTACTCTACCATCATTCTTTTGATGAGATGCAGATTTGAACCTTGCACCTCATAAAACAAGGCGTCTGAACCAGATGTTTGGACATCATAAACCAAGGCCTCGTCCGAACCAGATGTTATCACAATCCAATCTGTCTGTGGAATGAACTTGACATCGCAAAGCGACCCCTCCTCGCGGATCTGCCAGGAGGCCACACGTGTCCCATCTTCGTAGTTCCACAATTCCAGACGGCTTCGCATAAGTCCAGCCAGGAAGAGAACCCATGGCCCGTGAGGATGCACATCAATCCCCTCAAAATACACTGAAAAGTCGTTGTCCTTTGAACCGTCAGCCGCAGTCCATTCAAACTAGAATTCTCCATGATCATGACGTTTGACACTGAACCCCGATTAGGTCGTAGGTCAATGCACACAGCTCAGAGCTGCCAGACCGAAACGAAGACAAGTCCATCGGCAAAGTTAAGTGACAGGATGAAAAGGAAATTGATAAAAAAAAGAAATGGGATCCCGTCCAGGCTACCCCCTTGTTAAGTGACAGGATGAAAAGGAAATTGATAAAAAAAAGAAATGGGATCCCGTCCAGGCTACCCCCTTGCTGTGCCGAATAATGGTTACTTGTCGAATCGCATGGCCTTCAAGCTGGGGACGTTCCTTTTCTAAGTTCAGTCCTATCAACTTTGGATGGTAGGATTGGAAAAAAACAAAAAATAGAAACTACTACGTCCACCTCATGGTTTGAGTTTTCTTGTTTTTTTTTTTGTTTGTTTGTTTGGTTTTGAGTTTCAAATCTGCAGGACAGGGTCCACTTCCAGTGGCTGTGGTGAGTTCACTAGCAAACAGGGGGTCAATAGGGGTTTGAACCCCCAGACACCAGGGTCACTGTCCAAAAAGGAGGTGGGTGTGTGGGTTGGAGCAAGGACCTTCCGAGCAACGAGCTGAAATCCGAAGGGCAGGAAATTGTACATCGCTGGACAGTGGATTGTCCTCGCCACAGCGTCCGGAATTGGACAGTGGACATTAGTGGAGGGAGGCCCATTGTCACGGGCTGGGCATGCTGCACAACACAGAGATGCATTCATGATTATCCGTCGTCGACTTTACATGGTCCAGCAGGTGATGCTCCCCACCAATAGATGGAGCCTCCCTCCTGGTGTTAGTGGTGTCTGCTCTTATCAGCAGCACTAACACTGGCGGGGGGGTTTTTTCTCAAAAAAAAAAAAAAAAAAAAAAAAAAAGACTTTACATGGTCCACGCTATTTCTGAGCACTGTCCAACTGATTTTCGTGGGGTAACTTCAGTAGAGTCACAGTCACAAAAACGAGTTATAACTGCACTATGGGGCAAGATACAGTTTGCAAATTGCAATTGCACTTCGGGCACCCAACCTGGCCAGAAAGCTGGGTGGCATACATTGCCCAAACTGCATTTCGAAACTGTTTCTTGACCCATAGTGCAATTATAACTCATTTTTGTGACTCCTGCTTAGTACTAGTTTCCACAATTTTCATCTTGTACAGCGGACAGAGAGTGGAGCGACATCGCACTGTCGGAAATTGGACAGTCACTGTGGTGGACAGTAGTGGAGCGAGGCCCATTGTCAATGCCAGGGCATGCTGCACAATACAGACTCTGAAATGCATTCATGATTATCGGTCGTTGAGGTCACATGGAAGCAGCTCAGGCGGGGTCAGTGATGGTGGGGGGGATATGTGAATTAAGATTATCCTTATATCATAATAACAGTGGACTGCTCTATGCCAGGTGTGGCAACAAGACCAAATTCGGTTCTTGAACAGAGGAATCGTTGACCAGATCCTGTGGGCCTGAGACACTACTTCAGATCCGTAGGGCCGATTCAAATCCGTCGAGGGTTGGAAGAAGAAGAAAAACAACAACAAACGGGTGGATGTCAAGTGCAAGTGCAGCGTATCAGTTGTGTGAGGCGGGTCAGCACACAGTCGACATGTTTTACTCCTCCTCCGGATTCTAGAGAAGACCAAATCTGACTCGAACAAGAAATCAAGGAGCTACAGCTACAGCCAAGACGAGGTCGTTCGGTCATTTGGTCGTGATTGATTGAACGTAATGACCAGAAGAACGCAGAAGAGCGCAGACAACCGCCACTTACCATCTATGCTTTCATATATTGTGCAAACAGATGAAGCAATAACCCATTTACTAACTGGAACAAGCCCCCAACATCTCTCTCTCTCTCTCTCTCTCTCTCTCTCTCTCTCTCTCTCTCTCTCTCTCTCTCTCTCTCTCTCTCTCTCTCTCTCTCTC